TATTGCGGTGCGCGAATATCCTATGCATTACGGTAGAGTCAAAACAAATCATCCCTCTGTGTTTAGATGAGAATAAAACAAAAAATATAAGGACATTCTGATGTAGAGTTTCAAAATAGAAGACCTTTGAAGTCTCATGAGCTATCATCCCCCCCCCCCCATTTTGCATTTTGAAATGCTCCCGATTTCTGTGGTCTCAAGGTTGGCAAGTATGGTCTGGGTGCACTTTAAAAAAATGTAGTGGCGATAGTGCCAAGTGCAATCTATGTACTCAATTAGTTGCTTGTAAAGGGGGTGACACAAGCAACTTAATGAAGCATTTGCAACCGAGACACTCATTGAATCTAAAACGGTGCTAGCGATACTGCTAGTGCTAATAGTGCTAGCGGGCTTCAGCCTTGCCGTGTGTAAATGTGACCTGAGCGAAGGCTCGCAGGCAGGTTAGCTGCTGCGCACGGGTAATATGTTTTGTTTACCTGGGTGCAGTCTTGCAGGCACATCGCCTTGTCTTTTTTTTGTTTATTAACACCAAATTATTGAAAAGTATCGATAAGAGTATCGAAAAATACTGATACCGATAAGCAGTACCGGTACCGGTATCGATAAAATCCTAACGATACCCATCCCTACTCAGGGTCATGTCTAACACATCTCCATCATAGTGGGAGGATGGAACAAAAGAACACATGCCACAAACCCAAATCTGTGTATTATGTTGTAGCGTGCAAATTACTGTGGTTTCCTTCCTGTAACCCTGGTGAAACCACTCACCTAGGATCATCATCAACATTTTTCCGTTTTTCAATTGTGAGGTCAAATTAGGTCAAGTCAGTGACCCACATAGCATGAATATTGTCAGAAAGTGAAAAAGGGAAGAATAAAAACTAACCGAGATAAAAAAAGTTCTCTTACCTGTCCTGTGATTGATCCTCATACATCCTCTCCTTTCCCTCTTTAAAAAGTCGGATGGCCCGTTTAGATTTCCTCATAAGGCTATCAATGTAGACTTTGAAGAACTCATTCTCACTGAGCTGTGTGAGTCTCTGGTTCTCTTCATATTTTCCCAGAGTGAGTCGCAGGTGCTGGTAGGTATCAGGTAAGATATCCAGGATGTACGGTGGACTGTTTTTCAACTGGAGTCTGGGATTTTGGCAGAGGCGGACCTGTGGTAAAAAAGAAACATGAATTACTGCTTGTTTTATGTTCTTACATGTTTTGTTTAACACATGACACATTTGAGAGGGCACTGCCACCAAGGTGCATCACATGTTTATTGATTGAATCTTATTAACTGAACAAACTCTTACTCTGCTCAAAGGGAAACTCTAAAATGTAACTATGGTAAAATATGTAAAGAGTAAGCTATTATTAGCGATGCTCCGATCGATCGGTCACCGATCGAGATCGGCCGATACTCACTCTCTACCGATCGATCGGTGTACTTTAAAAATGCTTTTGATTTACTAATCTCTAAGACATGTGTTATGATGTCAAATTATTTATGTTATTGTGTACCATGTAGTATGTATGATTTTTTTAATGTGTGTAGAACTGCAAGACAGGGTCCGGAACAGATTTCCTGACAAGGACAATAAAGTATACCATAATGTATCGTATTACTTTATTATCTTTATTGCAAAGACACACTTCTCTCTATTTAGTATCCGGTGGAATGCGGTTCAACAAATCAGTGTTCTGCTGTTCTTTTTCACATCAACAATTAGTTATCATAGTGTCAGAGACAATTAACGACTCTCCTTGATTTAGAAAATTAGAGGATATGAAACATATATTTGCATGTATTGAATACACCATAAAAACATGATAAAAGAACACATACTGTAATTACACATTAGCATTTGCTCTACCTTCCATGTGCATCTATAACAAAGTGCCTCCCAGCATGCAGCAGACAAGCTTCATCACTCCCAACTTACAACTTTATCCATGAGTTTCCAGGTCTTCTCCACAGTCCTCCGGTCAGCAGCTGCTTGCTTCGGTGTCCCCACTGCATCCTGGATAGCATCAATGATTCCTAAAATCCGGCCCTTGCTTCGGTTCGGTCCTCTACCCCCAGGGTTTCGTCCACTGAGAGCAGTTGCCATGTCCTAAACACTGAGCCAAACAATGATGATAAGAGACAGTTCCCTTTTTTCAACTTCTACATCAGATACAGTTGTTCCTATCCAGTCACTCTTTGACTGTTTTTTTCTGTGTGAGTATTATTGTCAATAGTTTTTTAGACAGAATTGTTCAACTTTTACATGAAAGTAAAAATAGCTTTATATGTGTTAGTGCGTTGTTTCTCTACAGATGTTCCTGGTTCACCTACAGTCCAGCGGTCTGTAAAGCTATACGAAACCAAAACTTTTTTTAAATGTGAAAACGATGTGTCCTCCATACTTTAGTGCGTGTGTTTCTGGTCCTTGACAAAACAGTGTCCCCTTCCTAAATGCTTTCTATGGTCTTCCCTCGGGAGCGTTTTTGTCCACTGACGATCATGTAATTATCAAACCAATATGTTTCATTCAATTTTAAACTGTAACCAGATTGGTCTGCTGGTCTTGTTGTGTTGATCTGGTGTAAGGTATTATTAAGGTATTATAACCCCCCCCCGTAATGCGACCGAGCCAACGTTAACGATCCCACTCACAGTCCTACAGTAAGTGTTTTAAACAGGAACTAACAGAACGGATCAATAGCGTGGAAAAACACAAGTCCTAACTTACTAAACCACCAGGGGATGTCTGCCGGGATCCCGGTCCTCTCGGTCCACATGCAGCACACACACTGAAGGAGTGTCCGGAGATCCAGAGGTTGAGAGAGGCAGAAAGTATCCAGCGTGTAATCCCTTAATTAGAACAACCCTCCATGTTTTAGACGTCTTTAAAGCAGTTGAGCTGGTCGCTCTCTACAGGGTGCTTCCTACAGCCCCTCAGTGTGAAGCTAGCTATCATAGATACACATCCAGCTGCACATTTCAAAATAAAGCTTCCACACAGCTACCAACCAAACATAGGCTACATTGGAGTTGCATTGTGGTTCTACATACTCACATATTATTAAATTGTGTTGTTCAATTAAGTGTTTCAGGTTAGTAGTGTTGTAATCTCCCCATTAAAGACCCTTCCGCTCAACAATGATACATGTTTTTCCTTTAATGTGAAGGCATGGTGGGGGCTTCCGGTTCTGTGTCAATGCTGTTGGCGGGAGGCGGCATAGATATATATAGAGAGGCGAAGTCCCTCCCCTTCCGGGAGCCTCCATGGGACCCCGGAAGCGGAAAATTATACATTGAAGTCAATGGAGAGAGAAAAGTTATCTTTTGATCTCGTTTGAATTGTGCCACAAATGACACATATGATGTTTGTCAATCTTAAACAATCATTTCCATGTAAAAAAAAGTCACAGTTTCTCGTAAAACTCTTGAAATATAAGACTATGAAAAATACGCAACTAGAAAGACTACAAATCCCAAATCACATTCTGGGTCGCGTAAGTGATGTATATATATATATATATATTTATTTATTTTATTATATTGTTAATATCTAAAATTAATTATAAAATTAAAATATATTTATATTTTATATATAAAAATCGGTCTCTTGTTACCACTATGTAAGCTAAGAGTTGCTAATTTAGCAATGCCTTAGCTTGAAGAACAGGGACACAACTAATGACAATAACATATGGTGGTATATTATTTAGATATTCACACCTTTATCAGAAGAACCAAACCAACATAAAATTATCTCACAGACAGTAGGTCCTGGCCAGTTCTGTCTCATTCATCACAATTATTTTGACATGAGATCTTCATATCGTCCTAGTTTTTTTATTTAGTTTCTAGATTTGTAAACAAATCCAGAACCTTTGAAATACATTACCACTTCACAGCACGGTGCATCATAGACCTTCCTGGGTACCACCGAGATAAAGGATTTAATATGACAAGCCATATGATGCTCTCATTTGTTAGTGACATTCCACATGCAGATAAGATAAGATAAGATGGTACTTTATTGATCCCAATTTGAGAAACATTTTTTAGTTACAGCAGCGTAAAGGAC